ATGAGAAAGGGAAGCATCAGTTCACTTAAATCATTTGTTTACTTCAGCACACTATCCTGATTATTTCCTTTCTATTTGGAGCCGGATGGAATTAATTGGCTTCCATGCCTATTTAGATTTGGAGGACAGATGGTTGAAGGTCCCAGGTTCTTATGATAAAATCAAAGAATGGATGGGAGATGTTGAGGTGAAAAGAAAGGTGAGTTTCAAGGTTGGCAGAAAACTGGTGCAATTAAATCCAGGATAAAACAATAGAGCAAGGAAGCATTGGGTGGGAGGAGCAGTGGAAGCATGTCTTGTTTCAGGAGTTGGAGAAACTTGAAAAAGAGGAAGTCAAAAATAGTCTATCATCAGAGGATGAAAATAACATAGGTAATACACATCTTAAATTGGCTAATTTGATACAGATGGAGGAGATTTCTCGGATACAGAAATTGAGAGCTAGACAGGTTCATGAAGGGGACAGAAACAAGAAGTTGTTCTTATAGCATGACAAATCATCACAGAAGACTAAATTACATGGAAGTAGTGAAAATTAATGGTAATTTGGTGAAAGGTAATGAGGATTTGAAGGAAGGGATTATACATTTTTTAGAAAGTTGTACACTGAAGAAGTTTTCTGGAGACTGACTCTAGATGGGCTGGAGTTTAGTCGATTGGCTGAGCAAGAATCAGTCTTGATTGAGAAGGAGTCTCGGAGGAGATCCTGGAAGGCCTCACGAGCTGTGAGGTGATAAGACTTTGGGCTTGAATGGTTCCAACATGGAATTCCTGCAAAAATTTTAGGGATTCTAAACGAGGATATAATTGAGCTCTTCAGAGCATTTTATAATTCCGGTTCTTTCATTAGGAGCCTGAACTCATTTTTTTTTGTGTTTATTCCTAAGGTTGAGGAGGCTTCCAATATCAAGGATTTCAGGTCGATTAGTCTCGTGGAATGTATTTACAAACTTATTGCTAAAATACTTGGAAGAAGAATGGTAAATGTTGTGGGACTGTTTCAACACGTTTTTGTGTGCGGGACATAGATTTTGAATCGAATCCTAATATCAAACGAGGTGGTCGATAAAATTTTGTGCAAGGATGGGAGTGGGGTTCTTTGCAAACTTGACTTGGAGAGGACGTATGACCGTGTTGATTGGAGGCTTTTGCTAGATATGTCAAATAAAATGAGATTTGGTAACTGAGTGGTGTTAATGGGTTAAGACTTGCATCTCTTTTACATCATTTGCTGTTTTAGTGAATGGGGTCCATCAGCACTCTTTACTGCTTCCCGAAGGCTAAAACGAGGTAATCCACTCTCGCAATTGCATTTTATCATAATAATGGAGGCTTGAATATAATGCTTCAGAAGGCTCGGGCCCTTGAATTTTTTAAGGGTCTTAAGGGGGGTGAAGTTGAGAGGGCAGTAGAGGTGACTCACCTTTCCTTTGCTAATGATGCACTTCTTTTTTGTGAGCCAGATATTGAAGCCCTTCCAGGCAATTTTTGGACTCAATATTAACATATCAAAATCAGAGATGATGCAATTGGGCAACAACATGAACATCAACAGCATGGTAGACATTCTGGGATGTAAAAGTGTTAATCTTCCAATCAAATACCTAGGTTTGCTGGGGAAAAGTAAAAGAACTGTTGATCTGGAATCTAGTGAGCACAAGATTTGAGTCTTGATTGGCAGTTGGAAGAGGAATTTACTATCAAAGGGAGGTAGATTAGCTCTTACTAGAAGTACCTTGGCTGGCATTCCTGTTTACTTCATGTATTCTATATCCATGTCCGTTAGTGTGTCCAAGAAGTTTGAGTCCATTCAGTGCAGGTTCCTCTGGGATAATATAGATGAGAGAAAAAAATATCACATTGTAGCATGGAATGTGGTGAAGCAACCAGTTCAATTTGGAAACTTGGGATTGAGATTGATGGTTGATGATAATAAAGCTCTTTAATGGAAATGTGGTGAAGCAACCAGTTCAATTTGGAAACTTGGGATTGAGATTGATGGTTGATGATAATAAAGCTCTTTAATGGAAATGAATGTGGAGGTTTAATAAAAAGGAGGATAGCTTTCGGAGGAGAACAATTTCAACTAAATTTTGCCTGGAGGATGGAGGCTGGTTTACCAGGATGCCGAGTTGGCCATATGGAGTTGGGCTATGGAAGAAGATATGCATGAGAGAGGAGTTCATCAAGTGCATTAAATGGAAGGTAGGGTCAGGGAAGAGAGTGAGGTTTTAGCAGGATGAGTGGGTGGATGGAGAGGTCCTCAAGCACCAATCTTCTATGATTTTTGCTATTGCTCGCAACAAGGAGGCGACAATTAATGAATTCCATTAGAGACCAACTGCAAATGGTGCTTGGATAGCGGATTTCTTAAGGAATCTCAATGATTGAAAATTAGTGAATATGAATCCCTTCTTTAGGTCCTATCTAAGTTAGCTCTCTTGATGTCGATGATATTCTAATCTGGAGCCTTAACTCCAAATTAGAGCAGGACAAGTCTCCAGTCTCCATGGCAAGAGATTTGACCCGTTGATTTGGTCACTTAAGCTGGGATCTAAAACTTTTGTAATAAAATTTTGTTTGTTTTGTATAATTAGAATTGTGATGACATCATACTGTCTGCTGTATGTTGCAGGGAGCTTGTGGCGGTTGTTCTGAGTTGCATGAGAAGTGGTATCAAATTGGTAGCAGCTAGGCTATGGAGGAGAGAAGAGAAAGGGATGAAATGGAGCAAATGCAAGGAAACTCGTTCCCTCGTATCATCAACTGAAAACAAAAGAAACCTCAAAAAGGATTGTAGTGGGTGCGAGTGCGTTTAATCCCACGTATTCTCATAATATGTCACAAAAAACAAACTCTCATCTCTTCTGTTACATGCTAAACCCTAGAAGCAACCCTAGAAGCCATGTAATAGTTAATCTCTTGACTGTAACATAGTGTTCATATTAAAATTATCTTCCTCAAATGGAGTTTGGTAATTTAGCATATTCACCAGATCATATTTACCCTTTTCTGTTTGGGTAATAGAAGTAGATGTTTTTAATTTTTATATATATACACACACACACACATACATATATATATATATATATATATATATAGAAGATGATGATATTTAAGACTATTGTTAACAAAATCTAAAATAATTTTAATATTTCATTAGAGTGAGTTATTATGTTTTCTTTTTGGAAATATGGAGATTAGGTTAGTAATTAAACCCAAAATTCAGGAAACATGTAAAAATACAATCTTTATTTCAACAATAATTTAAGCAACAATTTTTAATGGTGGAGTAAATTCTGAAATTAAACTTAAAAATTCAGAAACTTTCAATCTACCCAATATGAACATTTTAACAAAACAAAAGTACTCTCTTGTACTAATCGTAACCCGTCTTGTACTGGGGAGACGGCAAAGAAAGGAGAGTCCTGACGAAAACGCTTGTTTATATACATAATATAATAATCAGCATCTTGCTATATATATATATACGCACACAATTCTTGGTAAGGCGGCGAATTTTGCCTATTGGTTCGGGAGATATTCCATATTTGTCTGTTTGCAGACGTATAGATCTGCGCTAGAGTATTTAAAGAAAGAAATGTCAATGAGGTTTCGCAAAAATGGAAGGACAAGTATGGCACGAGGAGGAAGTGAAAGCATCAGCTGCTCAGGCATGGAAGCTTTATGGAGGCCTTGAGCTGGCAAAGCTTGCTGAAATCGTTCTCAATAATTTTATTTCTAGGGTTGATCTTTTACATGGTGACGGAGGAGTCGGCACTCTTCTCAAGCTTCATTTTCTCCCAGGTCCATTTTCTTTTTTCTTTTCAATCTTATATTTAATTCAAATTATTATTAACTTAAATCATTTTAATTGTGAGTTACCATACGAAATTCAATAACCCTACGTATCTTTTTAATATGTGTGTGTGTGTGTAGGTAGTATGGGAGAGATTGAGTACTCAGTAGAGAAGTTCACGAAGATCGACAAGGAGAAGTACGTGAAAGAAACAGAGGTGACTGAAGGAGGATATATGCAGATGGGTTGCAGTTTATACAGAGTTCGGTTCGAAATCACAGAGAAAGAAAAAGATTGTTGCATCATCAAATCTACTATTGAGTATAAATTCAAGCCAGAAGCAGCTGTTGATCCCTCAGTCATCTCTATCCAACCATTTCAGCTTCTTGCTCAAGCTGCCAATAATTATCTCATTAACAAATCAATTACCAACCCTAATTAATTAGTTAAATCTATCCTTTAATAAGAAATTTCTTTTTTTTTTTTTTTTTTTTTTATAAAAAAAAACCCTTTTGAGTCTCTTTTACATGTCTATGTCTAGTATAAATGAATGAAGATTACGTATTTGTATTCTTACGTTGTGAAAGTACCATTCGAACATACACACGATATTTTTGAATTACGACAATGGAATTAAAAGATTATTTTAAAAACATTTCAATTTTTTTATTTAAAGATTATTATTGAAAAGAGAAAAAAGATGTGTGTGTGTGTGTGTATGTGTGTATGTATTATATATATATAACTACAAAAATCTAGAAACGTAAACATTGCCCAACCTTCCAGTTTCACACTGCCCATAAAAAAATCTCTACATGGTTTTCATTCACCTTACAGCAAAGTCCAACAAGAAGAAGTTCTAGGGTTCCAAATAGCAGGAAGCAAGAACTTCTTATTCCTATTTCCATGAGCATTAAATGCTCCACCAGTTCTCGGGTCGACCCTAACAGTACCCGTAAACCCAGGAAACGCACCACTCCCAAAAGTACCAAGACAAGCGGTTCCAGCCTCCACCAACTCAGTCGAGAACGGCACGTCAACGTAAAACCCATTAAGATTCGGGTTGGTAACCAAATTCGCCAACCCTGTTGCGAGCTGTATAACCATGGCGTCTGCTCCAACATCTCCATTGGGTGGCTGGTATGTTACACCTTGAGGTCCCCATTCTTGTCTGTGAAATGGCCACGCACATAATCCAGGACACTCTGTTTCTGGGTTCCCCACCATTACATACTGGTTCCCACCTGCCATTTTCACCATCATATTAAATATTAATCATATATATATATATGTGTTGAAGTAGGAGTTTTTATTACCGGAGAGGCCATGTTGCTGGCAAGTGGCTCGGCAGAATCCTTGAACGGTAACATCTCTGGCGGTGAATATAACAGCGACAATATCAGGTTTTCCGCCGGTGGCTTTTTGAACCAGACGAGGAACATAATCATTAGTAATAACCTTTCCAAATTCCCATGAAACATCTGTGGTGCTCTTCACAACACTGACTCGGATCCTGGGTTTGAACCCAGTTACAGGAACCGGACCGACACTAGTGGCGGCTCCGGTGGTCTGGTAGCTCTCCAGAATTCGCCACCATGAGCTGACCTTGGGCTCCAAACCTTCCCTCCCATCGCTGTTAAGCGACTTAATGAACTGTCTGACGACATTCTTTTGTCGGCGACCGAACTGGCCGTACCAGAGAAGAGCTAGCTTGAGGTGGCCCCTGACGACAGGACCGCCATGGTGGGTGAGCTTTTTGTTACTGGGAGGGCGTGGTCTCTTGGCGAGAGATAGAGGGGAGAGGATGAGGAGGAGAAAGAAGGTGAAAGCAAGAGCTCGATGTGGGGCGGAAGATGCCATTGATACTAGCTTCTGCAACAATTTATTTTTACTTTTATTTATTTATTTATTTGAATCTAGCTTCTCCCACCGATTATACAATTAGTTGATGGGTATTTTTATAGGCAGTTTCTAGGGTTTGCATGGAGAAGAAGATGGTGTGGTAAGGTTGACCTTCCCCACAAGTCAAACTGGTTTTTTGGGGTTATACCCCGGAATTTTGGTTACCCATGATTGTTTTAGCCAAGAGTTTTTAGATATTGAACAACTCAACAGCATCAAGTTTACCTATTTCCATGGGTGTCTGTCTAAATATATATGTATATGTATATGTATATGTATATGTAAGTATGTGTGTATTACAAGGACAAATGACAAAACATAAGACCTTTAGAATTCCATATAGAAGTGGAAGAATACATATTTCATATTATATCGATTTTGTTAGAATTTAAAATACTATTATTTTATTCTATAAAACTTCCACGTGAGTTGATTGTCTGACAAAAACAGTATTCAAATAAATCTTGATTTTAAATTATTATTATTTAATTCTAATATAAATTAATTTATAATATCTATATTTACTTTTTTATTTAATCTTTTTAAAAATCAAAAGTAATTTTTATTTTTTACTTTTTGACGACAAACGCAAATTAAAAAATCTTTACAAACCTGTGGTTCTAAATAATTTCTTTTATTTATATTTATAAATATATATATATATATATATATGTATACACACACACACACACACACAAATTCAGATAAATAAATATATATTTATAATAATAATAAAAAAACAAAAACCCAATGGTACCATTTCGATCAGATAGAGCAGCCAGCGAGGCGCATAACGGATAATAAATAATAATAGAAAAAACCAGCACAAGAATAAAAATACCAAATCCCCGAACGACCTTTTCCTTCTCCTTCCTCAATCTGAAACTATTATCTGATTCTGCATATCTTTGATCTTTTCTACTTCAATTTCTCTAAATTCACTCTCTCCCATTCTGGAATTTCTCTCTCTGCTGCTCTTCACTTATCCAATCAAGCATGTAGACGCTGGTTCAATTACCATATCGGATGGAAGGCAATCATAAGGTACCCAAATTCCACCCTACTTCTCTTTCTCCCTTGCTCTTTTCCTTCGTAGCTGCTCAATCAATTTGTTTATTTGTTGTTTTCTTGCTACGTCTCATCTCTGCATGTGTACTTTATGTTAAATACTTGTTTGGGAGCTGAGAAAGGGTAAGTGAAGATGGGAAGGGTCGAGGATAAGAGTTGACATGATGTGGAACCCTTTGAAATAAAGCTTTTGGAGTACTGTGGGATTAACGCGCCGTGTGAATTCAGGTGCTAAGTAGCATAAAAACGTAAAATAGAACTAATTCAAACAAAAGGTTAGAAGATTATGGAGAGAAAAAAAAAAAAATGCTGTGAATATTTAGCTACACTTGTGGTTCGTCGTCAAAAATGTCCTTATTTATGGAACGTTTGGTATAGTTTGAATGGATGCATATCTAATCCATGTCTGTTAAACTACAATAACTGTATGGGAATTGCCATCACCTTTTACAGTTCCCTTGCTCTGTCTTTCCGCATGAGATAATTCAAAATTCTAATTCAAAATTATATGCAGGATCATGCCGTCTTACATGTACCCTTAATGATAATGATTATCATTACTAGAGATAAATTTAAATAGAAATCAAAATTTTGTGTCTTTGCTCATTAAATACATGGATAAACATATTTATGGTGTTTTTTGCAAAATTGTTTTTATTTATATTTGGTTACTGTACAAACACGCATAAGCATGTACATTTTCATGAATAATACATGTATAAACATTTAGAAATTTAGGGAATGAAAACTAGTTAATGTTTTTATATGCCAAATGAAGCTTAATTTCTGCAGAAAGGCTAATTATAAATATAGGTTTCAGAAAATTCTTTAGGAAACTCATTTAATTTTCGTAATAAGCAGTCAAAAATCATAACAAGTTGTTGCTGAGAGTTTCTAAATCATTTATCATCTACTAGTTATGTTTCTATACATGAGATGTAAGCAAACAGTTGAGCAGTGAAGCTCTCATGCTAAACCTTGTGTATGTCTCAAAGTTGAACTTTTTTGCAGTATCAGCCTATTGAATTTTAATTTATTTACCTTAGTAAGATCCCTTACTACACCACTTTACCTTTAGGCTGTCATTTTAATTAAGAAAAATGCCTTTAGGCCAATATTGTAATATACAATATCCTTGACATTTTTTTTTTTTTTTTTTTCCTGAAATAACATATACAATATCCCTGACTTGTCTCAACTTATTTATTGATGCCAGACCAACCTTCTAATGCCTTACAGATGCTTTTCTGCACCAGTGTACCTGCTGCCCAATATTGTCATTCACAATATGCCATTAACTTCATTGTCTCAACTTGTCATTAATTGATCCAAACAAACATTCTTATGAATTATGCTCATATACATTTTTTCTTTTCTTCTGTAACCGCATTTCTACCACTACCTCCTAATTTGAATCACTTCAAGAAAGCACATGAAGTAAAATTTATAGGCTATTTTAGGAACTTTACTTCGTTTTTTCATAGGAAAGGAACAATACTTTCTCTCCATTATAACCTTAGGTGTATTCAGTTAGGGTCTGAAGTTTTCTAATGTGAATTATTCGTAGATACGCATGATGCTAATCTATTATCTGGTGTTATTTGCTTCTTAAGATTTTGTTTTTTGGAAAGCTGTTTTTCTTTTGCAGCCTTGAACTTATCATGATTGGTTGTCACTTTCACTAAATGCAATTGACTGTATTGAGGATTCTGATTCACTAAGCATGCTTGTTCTACCTTGATCAGTAGTATTATGCCATTACATCTACCAGTCCAACTTTAAGATGCCATTCAATTTGATTAATTAAATAAATATTACTTTGACTAAAATGACAAAGACGCATTTATTTTTAGAAGACACCAAAATACTCACTTTGAGAAAGCAACGGATAATTAAAATTCCTATAATTCAGAGATGCACACAACTAAAAGTTTAAGATACCACTAATTTAGCAATCTAGACAAATCCTAGAAGGACTTGGACATAATAAAACATCACTATCAAGCAACTACAATTTTTTGTATAAGGACATTTCTTTTGAACTCGATGTCTTAATGATGCTTATAAAATTTCTTCTGAGAGCTATCAAATCAAGTTTAAAAGGCTACTTAACTTCGCTGTTAAACTAGATTCTGTTGTCAATTGATGCTCTAATCTTATTCTCTTTCTCTATTTGTAATTCTCTGGTGAACATTTTTTTCTCCCTTTTCTGATGGAATAGAGTGTTCAGTTGAATTCGTTGGTATTTAGTGCAATATCATACTCATTTTCAGGCCTTCTGACTTCTTCATGGTTTGGATGTCACCTCGACGTGCATCTTCTACCTTGACATAAATTGGCCAGTATTTCTGTATAATTTGTCAACTGTATCCTGCAGTTCACTTGATTATATAAGTTTTAAAGCTAAGTAATGATTAAAGCATGGTAAATAGCTCTTTCAGATTTTTATTTTTTCTTTTTTGCCCTTGGAAAACCTTGGAATGCTTTTTGTTTCATAATTATTTTACTGTTTTCCTTTCATAAATTATTTCAAATGATTCTTTTTAGGAGAAATATTTCTTTTTTAATTTTCTTTTGCAATAAAGTTAGGAATTACTTGAAGAAGACTGAAATCATGCTGTTTTATCCTTTTCTTGTTCTGAGCAGCAGCAGTTCATATTCTCTCTCTCTCTCTCTGTGTTGGGGGGTGTGTGGAGTGTTCGATTGGTGACTGGGATTCATATGATTATATATCTCATCTATGCACGTGAATAGGCATTGAAATCACAAATAATGAGATGGATAAGAGAATTGAGTGTTTTTAGAATATTGGATGTGTACCTCAAGTTCGTTATATGATGGGATAATTTGCAGATAATTGATTCTTCTAAGCACCAACCTTATCTACTCTTTTCCTGACATGCGTTCTGGAGAGTTCTCTACTTTCATCTCAAGCTATGATGCAGTTGATATTGAGTGCTGAATATTCTGCTTAAATATCAACATAATACTGCTAGTGACAGTGGTGCTTCCTTATGTGTGATTATGCAAAAGGGAAGAATCCTCCCTTTTAATTTTGCCACACAGAGAAGTTTTGTCACAGGAAATTTTTCTTTTCTTAAAAAGATTAAATGACTAGTTGTTCTCATTTAATCTTTTTGCAATCTTCATTTTCTGCTATCAACGCAAAATAACAGAAGTATGACTACTATGTCCACAACTTTAAATGACATAATCTGCATGATTCTTATTCATGAAGTCCGACTCCCAATCACGTCTGCTTGATTTTTATTCATGAGGTTCATTGTTAGTCTACTTTGATGTATATCTGATGAGCAACTTCCCCTCTTTTCAAGGATTATTACAAAGTGTTGGAGGTTGATTATGATGCAAGTGATGAGAAGATAAGAGTGAATTATCGGAAGCTTGCACTGGTTAGTGACCCATTTTTCCTTAGAAGCTTCTTTGATGGGCTTTGACCTTACTTTATTGAAATAATTCTGTACAAAATAAGATTGGAGTTGATCGAGCATGTCTTCTGATATTGCTGCAATATTCATAGAAGTGGCATCCTGATAAACACAAGGGCGATAGAGCTGTAACTGCCAAATTCCAAGAGATTAATGAAGCTTACAGTGGTAATTTTGTCCCCCATCCCTTAGCCATTCTTTTGGTAATTCTATTTGCTGGTTAGCCAAGAATCCCAATCTTCATGTTATACAACATATTGCTTTGCATCAACTGAAGCAGTTTAGTTGGTGATCCACTTGAGCGATCTTTAGAATTCAGTTTATTCTTTCATCTAGAGTTTTTTCTAAGGCATAGAGTGAGAAGTAACGTACTTCAGATAATCTAAGTAAAATCACTTTAAGTTTTCATGACTGACATCCTTTGGTGTTAAAAATATGCATCTGCAACTGGTCTTCTGCAAGTAAATTACTGGTATTTTAATTAGTTAGCCACTGTTTTAGCTTCTGATATCTGCTTCTATTGAATCTACTTTAGAAAGCACATCCGTTTGGTATACCAAGATGATTTCACATTATACTTTTGGTAAGTTGTTTTAAATCACCATCCTTCTTATTGTGCAAAAGCAGAGAAATATGTCATTTGTGCACTTTTTAAATTTGTTAAGGGGAGGAATCCCAGTGATAAGTGGAAGTTGAACCCTTCAATGTGAGTTCATCCACTTTCAGTGGAGGGCATTAACCACAAAGGCAAGGACAGCCCTGTGGTTGTTCTGTAGTTGTTATTTAAGTACTTTATACAATCAGGTAATTTATATATATATATAATATAATTTGATGATTATATGTATGTTATATGAATATAAATGTATATATGTACAAATTATAGCTGTTTCGTACATAATATAGATTAGTTTTATCTGATGGAAATTTCCTCATGTCTCGTTACCATTTTCATTGGCAGTATTGAGTGATCCTGCTAAATGCTTTGGATATGATCTAGCTAATACATATATATGTATATATATATATTTATATAAATTATAAACTGTCCTGTACATAATATAGATTAGTTTCCTCTGATGGAAAATTTCTCATGTCTTTTTACTGTTTTCATTGGCAGTATTGAGTGATCCTACTAAACGCTTTGAATATGATCTAACTGGTATTTATGAGATTGATAAATATACTTTGCGGGTAAGAAAATTTGTGTTGTTACCTGTTCTAGAATATTTTTGATAATTTATTGTGCTGTATCCCAAAACATTGATATACTATTCCACTGCTACAGGAATACCTGGCCAGATTTAAGGGAATGATACTTACATGCAATGGCCTTGGTATTAGTCATACATCAATATGGTAATTTTTCTGAGACTTAATTGGATGGAGGTTGACTGTGTTCAGGATCCATGTTTGTTTGTTGAATAACATGGATCTCAGTTATTCCCTTGCTCTCTTTTTTCATGTCCTTTTTTCTTTCTTTCATGGGAGTATGAGGGATGTAAAGTGGAAGCGAGTGCATGTATGTGTTTGTGTTTTTTCTCTCTTTTCGATGCAAGTATATGTTAATGAGTTCTTCTGTTATCTATTGACATGAACAAGTAGAGAGATTTATCCGCACTCTACTTCCTCATATCTTTGCCTTGCTTCATCTCACATTGGTTATCTAGAGAACCAGTTTTATCTCCACTTAAGCAGATACTGTTTGTTGGCAGTTTACATCCATTAGAATGCATCTTTTTTATTTGTTTTGCTTATTTTGGTTGCTTTTCCCTTGCTCAAATGTAAACCTATTAATAAGTATGGGATTTTGGATAATTCATCTGTAAAGGATTGTGAGCTTTTATGCTCTTTGGATTTCTGAAGATGACAATTGCCAGCATTATATTAAATTAGGTTATAATCACTTCATCAATGGCTTATTTAGTACACGCAGCTGCAGTAAATAAGTGGCACAGAAGAATCGCAGAAATATTTTAGATTAGGTTTTAATCACTTCATTAACGGTGTAATGGTACACACAGCTGCAATAAACAAGTGGCACAAAAGAATCTCAGAAATAAAGTGAAGCCTATATGTTCTCCAGTCTATTTTCTTGTACCAGTTTGAACTTCTTCAAGCTGTTGGTTTTTCTCTTAAGGGTGTCAAAATAAGCTCGTACATGAACCTTATTCCCACAAAAAGGGTTACAATTTTTTTTTTGAAATAACACAAAAAGAGTTACAATTCTAACTCCTATGTGATAATGTTACAG